ATGGAGCCCCCACGCAATGTGAAGGAAGTTCAACGGTTGACGGGCCGCCTGGCAGCCCTCAACCGCTTTCTATCTAAATCGGCGGAGAAGTCTCTACCCTTCTTCCAGATCATGAGGAAGACGGCTGGCTTTCAATGGACTCCAGAATGCCAGGGGGCTTTCGACGAGCTCAAACGATATCTATCTTCACCCTTTGTGCTCTCCAAACCAAAGGTAGGGGAGACCCTCTATCTCTACCTTGGGGTCAGCCCGACAGCCATCAGCTCCGTGCTCATCCGAGAGGAAGACGACATCCAACATGCCATCTTCTATGTAAGCAAAACCCTAAGGGAGGCCGAGCTCAGGTACTGTCCTGTGGAAAAAACGGTGTTAGCCATCGTTTGGACTGTCAAGAAGTTGGGCCACTACTTTCAGGCTCACCCGGTTCATGTCCTCACTCATCAACCCCTCGGCGCCCTCATGAGGAGCCCCACCATTTCCTCCCGCATGGTGAAGTGGGCTATCTTCCTGAGCCAGTACAACATTGACATCCGTCCGAGGCCTGCCATCAAGGGCCAAGCCCTGGCGGACTTTGTGACGGAGTGTACCGCAAGGGCGGCCACGGACGGGGAGCCCTCGACTACCTCGGACGACTGGTGGACCCTCTACACCGACGGCTCCTCCGCAACCAAAGCATGCGGGGGAGGGGTAGTCCTCATTACTCCCGAGGGCTTCAAAGCCTACTATGCAATCCGCTTCTCCTTCAAAGTCTCCAACAACGAGGCCGAGTATGAGGCCCTCCTATGTGGCCTTCGGCTGGCTGCCAACATGAAGGCTCGGCAGATCCATATCAAATGTGACTCCAAGTTGGTCGTTGGCCAAATCTCCGAGGAGTATGAGGCCAAGGAGGGAAGAATGAAATAGTACAAGGAGGCGGCCAAGGAGTTGCTTAAGGTATTTGAGGCACACTCTCTCACTCAAATACCGAGGGCTCAGAACTCCGAGGCCGACATACTATCTAAGCTCTCGGCCGACTCCCCCGAGCACATCTCTAAGATTGCTAAAATTGAGGAACTCAGTCTCTCGAGTATCCATGCGAGCCTCGTCATGAACATACAACAACACCAAGAGGACTGGATCTCAGATATCATCACCTTCATCTCAGCCGGGCAGCTACCCGAAGATGAGACCCGCGCTAAACTAGCAAAGCCGAGGGCTCCTACCTACACCATCGAAGACGGAAGGCTCTACAAACGGTCTTACAACGGCACGCTACTTCGGTGCCTTCATCAAGATGAAGCCGAGGTCGCAATGGAGGAGGTGCACAGTGGCACTTGCTCAGCTCACCAGGGACCCTTCTCCATGTCACGAAGGCTCATTCTCCAGGGCTACTTCTGGCCAACCATGGCCAGGGATTGTGCTGACCTTGCCCGAAGGTGCACCGCATGCCAACATTTCCAGAAAGCCCCCGGCAGGCCCGCGGTCAACTATGCCCCCATCAGCACATCCGTCCCCTTTTCTCGATGGGGGATAGACCTTGTGGGCCCTCTGCCGAGGGGTACCTCCAACAACAGGTACATCATTGTGGCCATCGACTACTTTACCAAGTGGGTGGAGGCTGAGCCTCTCGCCAGTATCACAGAGGCGAAGTGCCGTCAATTCGTCCTCAAGAACATCCTCACAAGGTTTGGCGTCCCCCAACAGATCATCTCCGACAACGGAACACAATTTGAGACAGCCCCCTTCTGTGTCCTTCTGGAGGCATGGGGCATCAAACACACCTTCTCCTCCGTTGCCTACCCTCAAGGTAACGGGCAAGTAGAGAACGCCAACCGGACCTTGCTCGAGGGCCTCAAAAAGAAGCTGGAGGCCGAGGGCAGTGGCTGGGTAGAAGAACTCCACAACATCCTTTGGGCCTACCGCACCACCCCTCGGCGAGCAACAGGCGAAACACCCTTCTCCCTCTGCTACAGGTTTGAAGCCAAAGCTCCTACGGAAGTCACCCTTCCCACCCGGAGGGTAATCCAACATGACCCCGAGGTCAACGACAGCAACATGGCCCTCGACCTCCACCTCCTTTCAGAACGCCGGGAGCAAGCCTTCATCCGAGCAGAAAACTACCGGAGGCAAGTCAAAAGCTACATCGACGCCAAAGTTCGCACCAGAGAATTCCAAGTGGGGGACTATGTCCTCCGGAGGAGGGAAGCCAGCCAACCGACCGAGGGAGGCAAAATGGCACCAAAATTCGAAGGTCCCTACATCATAGCAGCCATCATCAAACCCGGGACTTACAAGCTCAAGCGCCCCAACGGGAAAGAGGTCCCTAGGCACTGGAACGTGCACCACTTGGTTAAATTTTATCAATAATGTAAGAGCGGCCAAGCCCTCATAACTAGTGAATGTACTATCCTATGGCCCAAGGCCTCCAATTTTGAAGAATGAAGACACATTCAAGACACCAAGAACAACCGCAAAACACTTATGAGCGGCCAAGCCCTCATACCAACTACAGGCCCCAGGCCTCACCACGAGAAGAACCCCTCCGGCACCAAGTGCCGAGGGCGGACACCATCAACACCTTCAACAACAATGAAAACACCAAGTGTTTCGAACAAGACCCCTCGGTACCAAGTACCGAAGGTGGGGACTCCCATCACCGGCAACAGGAAACACCAAGTGTTTCATTTCAAGACCCTTCGGCACCCAGTGCCGGGGGTACACATCTCCACCATCAACATCAAAAAGAAGAACACCAAGTGTTCCTACAGAAGACCCCTCGGTACCAAGTACCGGGGGTACACATCTCCACCATCAACATCAAAAAGAAGAACACCAAGTGTTCCTACAGAAGACCCCTCGGTACCAAGTACCGGGGGTACACATCTCACCCATCAACGTCAAATAGAAGAAGAACACTAAGAGTTCCTACAGAAGACCCCTCGGTACCAAGTACCGGGGGCTACATATTGAAACTAACACCAAGTGTTGTTTCTAAAAGCCGTACCCCACGAGGACGCATATACCGAAGGCGCCACCATCGGTGCCGACGGCACGTAGTGCCCCCGGCCATTTGCAACTAGTGTGAAAATGAAAACCCTTCCTTGAAACGCTTTTCGCGTCACTACCCCCAGGGTATGACAGACATGAGAAATGCCCAGGATTCGACTTTCAAAAACGGAACGCTTTCCGCGTCATCACCCCAAGGGTATGACAGGCACGAGAAATGCCCATGATTCGACTTCCAAACCGAAACGCTCCCCACGCTACCACCCCAAGGGTGTGGCAGGCCACAGACTATGTCTAGTGACGAGGGGACGACTTTCAAAAATGAGGCGCTTTCTGCGCCATCCCCCAAGGGGAGGCAGGTTACAGACCACCATATCTTGTGCCCAGGAAACGACCCTCGATCCCCTCGGAACTCGGAAGGTTAACCCGAGGGAGGAGAGCCATTGGTGTATGCTGATGGTCTCCTGATAGGCCCAGCCTTACCAAGAAACCAAGTTTCTTGATGTCTTCCCTTCACCACCAACAAAAAAAAAAGAGGGGGTGAAGGGGAGTAGACTCATCGAGAAATCAGTGAGTACAACACTCCAACAAATCACAACATACCGAGGGCTCCCTACGGGAACACCTCCGGTAACTGAAGGCTCATATTTCCCGAAGGTTACTGCTCAACAATACAAAGGGATGGGACTGTCTCAAGTACACTAAATGGCTAAGTTCACTTCAAATAAGTGCCGAGGGCACCTACCATCGGTCATCCATTGCTACCGAGGGGTCCTATCCTGTAAAAGGGGATGCAACTGACTAAGGCAGCTCAAGAACCCTTCAAATGAATGCCGAGGGCACCTATATCCCACCAGCATTCACTACAACATCAATATCCTACAAATTTTCCTAAGTCCACACTTTTGAAAAAATGACAACAGCCGGAGGCTCACATATCACCCAACGACCGAAGGCATCTATTACAAATCATCAAAGGCCAACCAAGGGGGATTATTCCAAAATAATGTCGCCCTCGGGAAATCTTAAGTGGAAAACACTACTAACCGAAGGCTACACAAGGAAGCAACACTTAGAAATTTTTCTAAGTCCTGAAGATTGAGCCCCCAGCCTGATCAATATTTCAACTAGAGGAACCATGATAGCCGAAGGCTACGTGATGCAACAACACTTATAAAATTTTCTAAGTCCTACATATTTGGCCCTCGGTCAAATATTCACACATCAGGAAGGAGGCTGCCAGCCGAGGGCTTCCAATGGGAGACTACACCTAGAAATTTTTCTAAGTCCCAAGGATTGGGTTCTCAACCTAATCATCACACAGCAATTGAACTACAAACACCCGAAGGTCCTATGGTGTGCTACATTTAGAAAAATTTTCTAAGTCCTACATATTTTGGCCCTCGGTCAAATCTCCATGCTACCCGAGGGGACATGCGGTTGAAGACTTGGTGAAGCTATACTTAGAAATTTTTTCTAAGTCCTACATACTTTGACCCTCGGTCAAATCTCCATGCTGACCGAGGGCTCCTACTACATACGTACTACACTTAGAAAAATTTCTAAGTCCCAAAAGATCTCACCCTCGGTGACAAGTGTCTAAGTCCCGAATCTCCCTGCAACCCGAGGGGTCACATGATTGAAGGCTTGGTGAGACTACACTTAGAAAAATTTTCTAAGTCCTGACTATTGCTAGGCCCTCGGTCACACATCTAGCAAAGGGTGCCCAACTACCGAAGGCTATGACTGTATTCAAACACTTAGAAGAATTCTCTAAGTCCTAAGCACTTCACCTCCGGCCATCGCACGAAGGCTACACGGAACCAGAAGGGAAGATCAGCCGGGGGCCAACAGATGAACAAACACTTAGAAATATTTCTAAGTCCTGAACATTGTGCCCCCGGTAAAACATTGAAGTAACTAAAGGTTATTTGTAACCGAGGGCTACAAGAAGCACCGCACTTGGAAGAAAATATTCTAAGTCCTAAACATACATTCAAAAAACGGCGAAGGCATACACTCAAGAGAAAATGACGAAATACATTCGAGAGGAAATAAATTAAAGAAAACGAGTCAAATACGCAAGGCCCGAGGGCTAACATTCATCCATCAAGAAGAAGAGTAAATGTATATGTTACAGTATGACCGAGGCCGAGAGTACACGAATATTCATTACAAACAAAAAGCAGAGGAATTCAAAACACTACAAATACATATCACATATTGTCAGCACCGGGGAAAGCCTCTTCCGCAGGCTTCGAGATGACCTCCGCATCAGCCTCTGCTTCATCGCGCTCGGCCTCTTTCAGGAGTTCTGAATCTTCCAGTTCCGGCCTCTCGACGCCCTCGGGAAGGGGGACTCTGATATCAGGTTGGAGGGGGGGGGGGGGAGACCGTATGCCGCCGAGTCGAAGGCCGTTGGCTCTATCTTCAGGTGCCGGGTGAGCCTCCTGTAGATTAGGGCCTGGGTGAAGAACTCGCCCCCGGCGTAGTAATCTTCACCCTTTCGGGCTAGCCACATCGCCCCGGGGCCCTTCACCCACCCCTCGGTAGAACTCTCCATGACCGAGGCCAGCCAGTCTTTATGGCCTTCGGCCTTCCAGCCCTCGGTCATGAAGGCAGGAACTGCAACAGCGGCGGCCTCTGCTTTGGCGGCCTCGGCGTCTTCAAGGGCCTTCTTCGCAGCCTCGGCAGCCGCCTTCTCCATCTCCACCCTCTCTCTGGCCGCTCTCTCTGCTTCCGCCCTCGCCTGCTGGAGGTCCCTCTCCAGTTGAGCCATCTGCCTCACGGCCTCGGCATTATCATGAATAAGCTTCTTGAGGGACTCCTCCTGTTGCGCCCTCTGGAGGCGCCACTCGCCGAACCTCCTGGCGTGTTCGCTGAGGGCTATGCAAGCCTATTTAGACAAACAACAAAGCGAGGGGTTAAAGATATGATCACACAAACAGATAAAGTCATGGGCCACGATGCTAAGGGATAAGAAAGAAGAAGAGAGGAAGGAAGAGAACTTACGGTAAGAGAGGACCGGAGGATTTTGGACTCGAGGGCTTCATCATCCAGCTTCCCGAGGGCCCGCCTGTCCAGAGCGGGTGTAGCCCCGCCCAGAAATTCCCGGGGGTCCACTGTACCATGCGTAATGGCAGACCCCTTCGGCAGGGAGAACTGTATGTCCTCCCGAGGAAAGCTTACCTCGCCACCTTTACTCGAGGGCGGGCAGGGAGCAGTCGGAGCACTGGGCTCGGAGGCGGAATGCTCGTCCACCACCAACACCAGGGGAGCCTTCTTCCCGGCGTCCCCCTTTTTTTGCTTCTACCCCTCGGGGATTGGGGCCTTGCCGGTGGCCTTCCGCTTTGCGGCCTCCCCCGAGGGCTCACCGCCTTTCTTCATCTCCCCGAGGGGCTTCTGCTTTATGGGCTCCTTCTGGCCCGGGACCTTCACCTTCTATTTTTTGAGGTTGGCGAAGGCATTGAGATCCATATTGACACCTGCAAAAACAATGTGGGGTTAAGATCGAGGGGTCACTAACAGATGGCATAAAGAGAAACAAACAAGCAAATGAACTATGTGCTAAGATATGAAGGCGAGAGTGCCCTCAGCCACTACCTCTGGAGGCTCCCTCAAATACCAGGAACTTCTCATCTGTTTCCCCCAGGAAGCGATACCTCCGGAACCCGAGGGTGTAGAGATCTCCCTCTTTGGTGCACTCCTTAATGGTGATATTCTTGTCCCGGCCCTCCGGGATCATGGCCAGAATCCTGCCGTATTTCTCGAGGGCGGCGCTCCTCCTCTTCTCGTGCCTCCTGAAACGGTCACGTAACTCCCTCGGGAAGGGGCTCTCGGTCAGCTTCACGTAGCACCACCGGTCCTTCCACCCCTTGTTCGAGGAGGGCGCCTCAGTGAAGAGCTTGAACATTGCCACCTGCTGCAAGTTTGCGAAGCCCTCGGCATTCGCATGCCCCCCGGCACAGATTGAAGCTCTGGAAGAAGAGGTCCAGGCTAGGCGTCACCCCCTGGGACTTGCAGAGCTGGAGGAAGCCAGTAATGTAGGAATGGCTATTCGGGGTCAGCTGGCAGGGGACCAGACCCACGAACCGGAGGTACTCCCGGAAGAAAGGGTGCAGGGGGAAGCAGAGCCCCATGGACACCGAGAGAACGTGCACCGCAATACAGCCCTCGGGAGCCCAGGAGAGGATGTCATCTGGGCTCGGTGTCACCACGATGGCCGAGGGGCCCACGTGAAGCTGAGTGACGTAGATGTCCGCCGCATCAACCTTCGAACTTATTTCCAAGGCGGCGGTGTTCAGGTAGGAGTACCCCTCGGGCATATCGAGGGGCTTCCCTTGATCTGCAACGCTGCCCTTCTTCTTGGGAGCAGCTACCTTGGCCTTCTTCTTTCCGGGGGCCACCCGGATGGGAACCGCGTTCAGCGGCCGAGAGGTGCTGGCCTCACCGGCACCCCGAGGGGGGAGCACAGCAACGGTGACCCTCACGCTTTCTCTTTGCGCCTCCTCTTCAGCTGCTTGCCAGGCTAGGGCCAGCTCTTCATCTTCACATTCTTGCTCGAAGCCCTCGGCTTCCGCCTCATCAACGAGGGCTTTCTGCAGCTCCAGGGCGACGGAAGCATCCTGTCCCACCAAAGACTGTGCACTTGAGGACTCCACATCTGAGAGGACTTCATCCTCCATCGAGGGCGCCCCCGAGATGTCTTGAGAATCACTCCGGGACGACATTCTGGCTCTGGTTCGAAGGCTCGTAGACGCTAGTGTTTTCTAAAAACTCTATCTCCTAGCCTAAGGGCACAAGACAGCTAACTAGAGAGGTGAAGTGCGAGTGGAGAACTGACCTGGGAATTAGAGTTGGATCGAGGGCTGCTGTTTCTCTCTCTAGGAAAAATTCAGCAGAGCTTCGCTAACAAGGTTTCGCACAAGGAGGAGTGCCTGGCCTTGGGGTATTTATAGGCGATGGAATCCGGGCTTGGGCCTAGAAACCGGGCCTCCGGATGGACCGTCATCATTACACGCCGTGTCTTCGCCCAATCGGTGACGCCGCCCACGGACAGCCAACCATCACGTGCCACATGTACCCCCCCCAACGGCTATATCCTGACGTTACATATTCCAACGGCTATATTTCCAACGGCTATATTCTGGGAGCCCCCGGATTTTCTTACTTCACTCCACTTCATCAAGAACAACCTCCGAGTACACTCACCCAGAGACGCCCCCGGGTTGTGCCCCACACAGTACATAACAGTTGCCTTCGGGATCACTCCTTCAGAAGCCCAAGGCTTCATATCAGGCCACCCCTCAGGGATTCCCCCTCAGCACTGTAAGGGCCGGGTAGCCCCCGGGGAGTATGCCTCATTGACGGATAGCCTACAGCACACAGGTAATGGGAGCCCTCGGAGATCCTCATCACCAACTAATCAGCAAGTAGGGGACACCCCGGTGACAATTCAACTACTGCCCTCATCCATCACGCCCTCGATCCCCAGATTGAGGGGCTTCCCTTCGGCACCTCCCAGGACATCAACAGCAAGCCTCCGGCTACTCAACACATGAGCCCTCAGAACAAGGAGAGCCTTCGGCATTACCATTATTCTCCATTTTGAGCCAAGGTTTCACATTTTCGATTCATCATTGGGGGAATTCGGTGCACTCTTTTTCCCTCATTAGGATTTTTTCCCACAGGGTTTTTCCTAATGAGGTTTTTAACGAGGCATCCCCCCAAAATGAAACGAAAAGCGTCAGCCTTCGGCCCACAACAGCAGCGCAACTACTCTACTCCTTTTCACCACTTTACAAGTGCCTCAAGGAGTGGGGGACTGGAGGACCCCCTCGGGAAAATCATTAAATTACAAAATGGTGAAAAATTCCAACAAACGGCCAAGCAATCCCTCAAGTCCCGACATGTGAGTAACTGAGGGACTGCCTTCGGCAGGGACATGAAAGCAACGACTCCTCACCAACTTCAGAGATTACAACGGGACAACATCAAAGGGCAAGCACAAATTACTCCTTTTCCCTCAAGTACCTTTCGACAAAAGGAGTGAGGGACTCCTGATGGAGCATATAGCCCGGGAACCCCCGGCCCACAGACTCCTACTACACCAATAAAGGCCCAACCGGCCCAGGAAGCACAGCAGGCCCCAAATTATGGTGCCCCAAGCACTTAGCAGCACACAGCGCACACTGGGGAGCCTTCGGCCCCCTGGCCGAAGGCTCAAAACTCTCACACAACAGGTTTTTCAAGCAAACTAAGAAACTGGGAGAAAAACGGCAGAAAACAGTAGCCCTCGGCACCTGGAGCCCTTGGCACCCAAGGGGTCCCCGACACTCAGAGCCCTCAGCTAGTCCTCTGCAGCCGAGGGCACCTCTCCCGACATAATATCCGCGGCACATGCGTACAGATCACCGTACCCTGTACAACGTCCCATCCAACAACCGCATTAAATGCGGCCACATGCGGCTGCCAGCGCCAACCAGTTGAGGTGAGCTCTCGGCCAATGGGCGCTTGACACGTGTCCCTGTACGGCATTTATTGCTACTATAAATAGCACCCCATTTCCCCATTTGTAACCAAGTCATAAACGCTGCATACTTTCTAAATACACTTTCTCTCTCTATACTTACTTGCTCTGACTTCTCTCTTATTACTCCCCGTAATAACCCCTCGGATAAACTACCCCCCAGGTACACTATCCATCAATCATGTATACATTTTCCTGCAAAATCAGTAAACAGAAGCAATTTGCAAATAACTCGTGAGAAGAAAACAGGCGATGAAGTTTGGCGCAAGCTTCTTCTTCTCTGCTTCATTCGGTCGATCAGACCCTCTCTGATACTAAGTGTTGGTCCCTATATTCTACACTACAATAATGTATGAAGATGGATAAGAATAGGTGTAGAAGAAACTTTCCATAGATTCCCAGAAGTTTACACAAGGATGAAGAAATTATTAGAGTAGAACTTCTGTAGGCTATTCTATCTGTGCGCAGGGAATATGGGGGAATGAAAAGCTTAACCTATTCCATTCTCAAAATGGCATATATATAGCGTTTAGAGAATGGGATAGGTTTACATATGATTGGGCTCCTTTTCCTAGGACGCCCATTCCCTTTTAATGGCATTTGAGCCTTTTCTATGAAAAGCCTATCTAATTGAATCTACTAAAAGGCTTAATAAAATACATGGATCGCAATCATAAAACTATCTCTAACAATTTTAAGTGCGAGAAAACTCACATCATTAATCTACTCGAGAGGGGGAGAAAACAAACAAAATTTCATAAATGCGTATTATATCTCGTTGGAAAGATAATTTGGAGCTCTAAAGCTATTGTTCCAACTTCATTTACAATGCATTAATTAAAAGTTACAGATTAACCATAAATTCACAAATGTTTCTGATTTCACTCTGAACTCGTGTAGAATTTGACGCGATCATATCTTACTCTATTTTGTTGAGTTGAAAGCGTTTAATATCTCATGGGAAAGATCTTACCGAGTTCTAAAACTTGTCTTCAGGCGCTGGTTTCAAAATACTAATTACTAAAATACACTGTATTTACGCTAAAAGTGCTCTATTTACGCTGAAAACGCTAAATCTTAGAGATAAGGCTAAGTATCCGTAACACTCATATCCTGCTATGTGTTCTTCCGTTTAGAGCGTATTATATCTCGTTGGAAAGATAATTTGGAGCTCTAAAGCTATTGTTCCAACTTCATTGACAATGCATTAATTAAAAGTTACAGATTAACCATATATTCACAAATGTTTCTGATTTCACTCCGAACTCGTGTAGAATTTGATGCGATCATATCTTGCTCTATTTTGTTGAGTTGAAATTATATCAAAGTGTCATAAGTCACTATAAAGGCATAGATTTTGTAACACCGTCCCCAATTATATTTACTTTTATGTAAATCATGTATTGAACCTTATGAATTGGTTGATGAATTTACGAGGTTCTAAATTTCTGTTATTACTTTTCCGTGAATAGTAAATTGCACGTGGGACCCACAACGGGAGTGGGGACCACCCGTTAATTCCGAGTCCACATATTATATTCATCTTGGTCTAGATAATATGTATATAGTGGTGGATATTCTAGTTGGGCCATGGAAAGGACATAGGGTTGACCGGTTGGTCAAACGAGGCACAGTTACCAGTATTGATAATATATCGGATAACAGTACGAAATGGATTTCGGAGATTTGCAAATTAAAGTTGAGGTATGCATATTCATCCTAAGAGCCCATATGGGTTGAGAATGTGTGATATATTTTATTTGGCCCGATAAAATAAAATATAATTAACATAGTCCGAGAAATACAACTTTCGGGGCCGATTGTACATTTCAGGACACAAAGGGATGACCTCCCACGTGAGTGGGGGCCACCCCACGTTTTTGGGTGCTGAGATTGTCA